ATCCATCTGATATTCAGCTTCCAGGTGTTGGGAGAGTATGGACGGGTTGGAACTGAAAGGTCATGAAGACTTCCTTGTGCCTGAGGAGATTTGAGTGATGTTCTCCTGGACTCTGCAGGCTGTGGTGCCAGGAGGTCACCATGGCTACACCAGATTTCCATTAAGACGTTTTCTCCTGGTGCTATGTAGAGAAAGGAAACATGAAAGAAAATAATGAAAGCACTTTGAGTAGGCAGGTACGTTACTAGTATGTGTTCTTGTGCCAAAAAAGCTCCCAGCTTGAGGTGCTTGATACAGAAGGAGGACTGCTGTCTTCACCTGGGAACTTATAGATGAGCACGCTCATGCTATAATAAAAAACTGTGCCCTTTCAGGAAGAGTGGGGTGTGCAAGGGCACCCATGGCATGGTATGCTTTGGACTCTCCAGCACCTAAACCCAGCCCTAACTGGCTTGTCAAGTGTTGCCGTATGGCTACTGAACACCTTGTGGTTGCCACTTGTTCCATACATACTCTTTCTGTGTGTCCCATTAGCATGACCAAAATCCTAAAATGTTACCCAAAAATGTAGTTCAATTGGGAGGAAGTTCCCTTAACCTAATTTTAATTCCATTCAGAAGAGAGTAGTAACAGATGGACAAGAACAACAATGTTGGGGTGTCTGTTGAGACCTCTACAGCAAATTACTCATGAAATCAAGGCCACAAAGCTGTATTGGAACTACTTTACTCAGTAAACCTTTTAAATTTTTTTTTTTTGTTATTAAAAAAATGTAAAAGAGAAGAGTATTCTCTTTATAACAAGTTTTAAGTTTCCTCTGATATTTGCACATAAATCCAAACTGAACAAAAATCAAGGTTATTATTACTAAGTTCCCACTCTAACTCAGGGGTGAAAAAAAAAGCTGAATTATGTCTCTTACTGTTTTAATATATATGTATATATTTAGACCTTCATCTTAAGTAAGCTATGTGGAAGGAAATAATCCATTCTTTTAAACTGAAATTAGTATGATTGCTCTGGGTTACTGGAAGCTAAAAAAATGGACTTAAAATCTACATTTAAACTACTGAGAGAGAATTTGGTGTGCTTTTAAAGCTGACGTTGGCCTGTACAAGTGGATGACTAACTAATTTCAGATTCTTCATCAAAGAGCTAGAAAAAGGGTTTGTTTTTTTTTTTTTATAATAGTGTATTTACATGCATCTGATCTTGCTGGTGCTTAAGAAAGACATGTACATTTTACATAACTTACCTGAGCTGAGTCTAAAGCTGAATGAAGACTATACTGATAACCAGGAATTAATCTCTTTGCAGTGAGCTGTCCGAAATTAAGGATTCGTAGATCAAGCAAAACAATGGCACTTATTCTAGACAGAAATCTATTTTAAAAAAATTGATCTCATATAAGTAAGTTTGAAAGTCCAGTTGCAACATGTGCTGAAGCTGCATATTAATGGCGAAAGTAATACACCTTTAAACGCAGTTACCCATGTTTACCCTTGCAGTCTCTACCACCAGGGAATATTAAAACCTGACTCAATACCTTTGAGGGCGTGATACAAGCTTGAAAATATAATTCAAAAGCAAGGTTTACTGTCCTTCACTAATGCATGCTAATGTGACCTTGCTGCATAATAGCATGTGAGGAAGGTTTTCACTAGTTTCTTTCAACTCCTTTAAACATCACCTTTGAAAATGCATTTGAATTGGCTGTTCTCTGTGCTGCATAATATCCAGTGAACTAGGGTATCTCTTGCTTGCACAGGCTGATATTTACTGGTGTTCAGATAAGGCTGTTAGTACATGGGGAAAAGTTGCTAGACATGTGTTTGTATTAATAAATAATTCTTAAATACTGGTCTTTCTCTGTTTTGGATCATTTTCTCGCCAGGAGATAGAGGTCCCATCAGGCTGTTGCATATGTCCCCATCTTTGCCACGTGTGTACGTCTCACAGAGACGGCAGGTTTCCGTAACAATGTTCCCCGTCTCACTTTAATCAAGAGGTTTCACAGTGTTATCTTGCTGTCTTGTTCCAGGCTCCAGCCAAAAGGCCATGAAAATATGAAGCACTGAAAGAGACAGTTTATAGGACAGGGTAAAATTTTCTTCGGTTAAGCCACTTCCTTTTCCTTGTCACCTGCTTTATTCTGCCCTATTACTCTACCGCCCACTAAATTTCTTAGAAATATATCTACATTCAGTATTTGGGTCAGTGTTCTCTCTTAGTTTGTAGAAATTAACACAACATATTAAAAATTCCTTCATCCCTTTGAAACTTGTGTATTGATTAATGAACCCCAAATCCCCTCTTTACTGATTTTTGTAGGGCAGAACTGTTTAGTGAGCAGAGTCTAGTCTCTCTTACCATCTTAGTCCTTTAAAAATTATGCAATATATTTTCTCTTAAATACCTAATGCTGATAGCCACCCTTCCAAATCTGCTTACCTAACAAGGCAACTATTTTCTGTTTATGGTATTTTACACAAAATTACCAGAATTGGACAGTAATTCAAAGTTAAACTAATGGAAAAGCAAATTTAATTGGATAAGGAGATATAGGGAAAGGAACAGAAAAAGGCAGATTGGTTGGAATAAGTTTACTCAAAAGCAGAGAGGCTGATAAATATGAAAAAAACATAAAGCAGCACTTAATGCAATGGGAGAGTCAGGAGAACAACCTTGGACTGGAAGATGTTTTGGATGTCTTTCCTTGTGAGTCAAATAATTTCTGTTTAGAAGTGTGTGTATGTGGTGGAAAACAGGCAGGAGGAAGGAAAATTCTTTGAAAAGAATTTCAATATATGTATAGTATTATTCAAGCAGTTTCTTTTTTGTGGTAATGGTTACTTAGCTTCAGTTTCCACTTTCTAAAGTGCTCAAAGCCTACATTAAACATCTTTGTTCCTTAATGCTTTGAAATGCTTTAGGAATGCCTGAGCTGAGGTACAAAATCTATTTCACGTTGATGTTTTGGTTGGGAAAGGGATTTTTCCGAGTGTTTTTTCTCTTATTTTCTCTGAGGGAAATAATTATGGTGGTATAGAAAGGATGCAATTCTTGGTGTGGATTTTCAGTATCTTACACTGATTATGAGTAGAAGCTTTGTTCATTCCAAATAAGGAATTTCAGGTTTAAAACTGGAAGAAAAAAGAATCTTTTAGGCTTTGAAGTCATTCTTCAGGCTCTGAATGTCTTTATAACCTACTTTTCTTCTGCCTGCGATTGGAAATAAAATACATAAATAAAACCTAGTTTTCCTCGTAGTGCTGAAATTTGAGACTAGATCATCTGTTTTTAGTTTTGGTTACACATTAAAGCTAATGGTAAAAATCAGGGACGACTTAAATTGCCAGTAAAGATTACCTAAGAAGTTTTTATTGATGTCCTGAACGTGAGCTGCCCATGTCCGGAGCTAACATTAAGGCTCTTCAGCGCAGGTATTCCTAACCCGCACAGTCCCCCTGGACTGCAGGGAAAGTGTTTAATGTAAGAGATGTTTACACAATATCTTTAAATGGGCATCATCAAGGCAGGGGAGATCAAACCAAACATTCGCTTTAAGTAAAAGGAAATTGTACTCCTAGTATTTCTCCTTGGCCCATTTCTTTTCAGCTGCAGACAGAATAAAAACTGCTGTGCTTTCCTGGGGAACGCGAGGAGAGAGATCAGTATTTGGTAGGGCAGGACACTCCGTGGAATCTGATCCTGTGAGCAGTTGCAATTCAAATTAAACACTTCTTCCATGCCTGAAATACACTGTCATGTACATACCCTTAGCTCTTTACAGATCACAGAATGGATAGATTTATTGAAGTAATCTGTATTAATCTGTCATCCAGATCTTGTTCGATTCAGAAGAGGAGATAGTAGTTGGCATAAAGCGTCACGGTTACTCTGGCAACAGCATCAAAATAGAAACACACAGATGGACAATCTACTAGCTGGGTTTTTTAAATACCAGTTCTGCACGGAATATGAATTATTAGCTGTGTCATGGTGTGCCATCATCTTTTGCTGTTTAAGCACATTAAATTGTTAGACACACTTTTGCAACTTGGCAAATCTACAAGATGCATAAGCCTGTTCTGGTGCTGATATAAAGACGAGTTGCAGATTGTCACTGGAGGGGAAAAAAAGCTTACCTGTTATCATCAAACTCTCTGTATTGATGAAAACACTACTTATTTACAGGTAGGTAAATGTTACTCAGATTTTTACAGCAACAGAACAGCTTACTGAAAATTTGCCATGATGCAGTGAGAAATGTTCCCTGTAGATATTTTACATGGCTTTTTCCTCAAGTTCACACAGAGGGAAAACCACGCCTGGAGGAACCTCCTTCCTCACATAGTAACTAAACCCCACTTAGTTTGTGAGCAGCTCAAGCGAGTGGGTTACCCACTTAAGGCTTTGACGTACAAACGCTGGACTGCAGCTCAACGCTCATCCTCATGCTTCTCTCCCTTTCCCCTCGCGCCTCCACCGTCTCGCTCGTGGCCACGTCCCCTGCTTTCCCCAATGTCCTCATCCTCGCCTCTTCCCCTCCGCTGCGACGCTGGCCCCAAGGCAGGCCCCGGCCCTGCGGCAAGGGGCAGGAGGGGAGGCAAGGGGCAGGAGGGGACCGCACAACCAGCGCTGGAAAGCCTCCAGAGACAGATGTTGCACAACTTCCTTAGCTGGTAAATCACAGAGCCGTTTCAGCCCGTCTCCTTCCTGCAAATCATTGCTGGCTCTTACATCTGCTGAATTACAGCCCTTTTAATGCTTTTGAACCCTGGAAGACAGCTCTGAAATGCTTTTTTTTTTTTTTAGTGCAAACAATGCAAATTCCCTCAACCTTTTGGTATAGTTCCCATTTTGCTGTTTCTTGCACTTGTTGCTTTCGCTTCAGAGCCACTGCTATCCTCATCGCACCCCTCTCCCATGGCTTTGTGCGTGGGCTTGATCATCCAGGAAGACGGAGCAAGATGAAACACTCAGATTTGTCCCGGGAGATGTCGGGCAAAACGGACCGTTTCCTTGTAATGGCTGTGAAGGGTCTGGGGCAGCGTTAAGTACCTCAGACCCCGCATCTGGGGGCTGCCAGGTGGGAAGCCCGACCAGCTGACAGCTGCTGACCGCCCAGGAAACCACAGGCAAAGAGAAACACGGGGGGCAAGGGAC